ACTGGCACAAATCTATCCTTCAGTCAGTTATTAATGAGCCTGCTGTGGATCCCTCCCTTTCTCTCCCCACCAAGTCCCAAAATCGGCCACTGCTCCCAAAACAGAATTCTATCTTCATCTTGGAGATTGTTCTACTTCAGTAGAGAGGTGAAAATGCACAGTAAGAAGGAACAGCCCAGAGGTTTTTTAGGGACAGTCTGCTCATTCATTGTACTATTATAATGTCTTCAAAACTCTCAGGAAGTTGAAAATATGCAAAACTGTCATTTTTAATTGTTGGGTTTTTTTGCACAGTGAAACAGGCAACATCCGAACACTGGTCTTCCCAGTGATGTACATAAATGAGGTAAATGTTTTTATTTATTTGCAGCATTGTGCTCTGTTTGTTCTTGCAGAAATACTGTCTCTGAGCTAACCAGAAAAGAAAATGCTGTTTTTCTTGATTTATACAGTGATAGGTAGGAAGCTGTTGCTTTTTCCTTCTGCTGCATGTTGACTGTAGCATTACAGCCCTGCAAAACACTCTCAGCCAGACACTCCTTTGGATTTCAGAGGTATCGGCCATGAGGAATAGAGCTGCTCAGATGAGGAGGCAAGAGTTCACCAGATCACATTTTTTTTTTTTTAGTAGTCTTTTGTGAATATTCTTGGGCTGAACTTGTTGGATTCAGGAGGGGACACTCTAGGGAACTAGTTTCAATGATGTACACCATTATTCCAGGCTTATATTATTCCATTCCTAAAGTCAAGAGTTTAAAATCACTGCTTTCTTTTGATATGCAGAGTAGATTATCCCTCTGGCCACACAAGGAGAGCTAAAAGTTCTTAGAGGGAAAGTATATCAAGAAGCAGTGAAGCAGAGGTGGGCAGTTGTAGGAGGGTTTTTTCCCTCCCCTTCCCTTGCCAAAAGTAAAGCAGTCCTAATACAAAGGAAAAAGAGAAATAAACTTGTTTTTTTTTTCAATCTCTCTCTTCTCCAGAGTGTTCTGATTGATGAAGTATCTGCCAGCAAACTCAAGCATGTCCTGCTGGAAGCCAGTGTTGTGACTGGAATCCCCTTCGTAATCATGTCTCTAGGAATTGTTTTTGGGATTATTTTTGTTGTGCTCGTGTGCAGGTCCCGAGGGATAAGTGAAGAGGTAAACAGCAAGTGAATTTGACCTTGCTTACTGTGCACCTGCCTGTATTTTATTTTCTTTTTGTTGATTTTGCCTGTTCATTGTCTTTCTGCACACATTTTTATTTGTTGTTTTTTTTTTTTAAATGACCTTTCTAGGGAGGGGAAGTTTTAATAGACTCAGAATAAATGCACCAAAACAAAGGAATGGAGCTCATATAAGAAACATGGTAAGACAGGTTGCATCTTCTGTGCCTAATTCCCTTGCCTGGCTAGAGAACCCTGCAGGATAGGATGCAGAAGTCCACTTTATTTGATGGACAGAGACAATCTGACAGTGTTCTCAGTAGGAACAATTGTCTTGTGCCAGTTGATTACTTTACAGAATCCTAATAAAAATTTCTGACCAAAGATCAGGTGAATTTTACAGACAACAGCCTGCAGGAGTTTCATCCAGACAGGACTAGTTTCTAGTTCTGGAATGTTCTGTCACAAAATGACTTCTGCCATTTTAAGGTTGCTTACCACCTTGAGAGCTGATGCCAAAATGTCACTCTAATAGGCAAGACAGTTGGGTCCAGATGAGACAGACTGCAGATCCTGTGGTTAGAGAAGTGGTCTGGGTACTCTAGTAGGCTGTGTTCTCCTTGTAGTTGCTGTGGTCTTAGAGTGGTCTTGCCTGTGTGGTGTTTCCTGAGTCCTTTCTAACAGTGTGAGCAAGGACCCTCACACCTACCTCCAGAGCACCCAGCCACACCCTGCCTGTGCTTTGTCTCAGTGAGACCCACTGCTGTCACATCTCCAATGGGACTGACAGGGGTGGCAGCAGCAGTGGCACTGGTGGTGAGGTCTGCAGCCTCCTTTCCCTCAGCTCTGGCTTTGGGCAGCCTGTACTTGGCCCTCTTGGCTTCACTCTTGGTTTTCTTGCTGAGCTCCCACCCAGGAAGCCTTTCATGAGCAGACGCTCTCAAGACTGTACTTAAGGTTCCTTTACAGGAGAGACTGGTGCCTCTTCCCGGAAGCTCTGGAGCCTGCTTGTGCTATTGCCAGCTAGGCAGCCTGAACTGCCCCATTGCCTGAGGCCCCTGTCCCCAGCATTCCT